ATGTAACATCTGGATTGCCCTCACCCTTCATAGCCGAGCTGCATGGAAATTCTAATTTGGAAATATGCAAAAAATGTCAGACGAAATATTTGCGTGATTTTCGAACGCGAACAGCCATCAAAGCTCATGATCATCAAACAACTCGTAAATGTGCTAAATGCCGTTCGACATTGTACGATTCAATTATCAACTTTGGTGAGAATCTTCCCAAACAAGAACTCGAAGCAAGTTTTGAACACGCACGAAAAGCCGATGTGTGTCTCGTTTTGGGCTCTTCATTACGGGTTACACCAGCAGCAGATATTCCACAGTTAGTCGGTGAACACGGTGGCCAATTAATCATTGGCAACTTACAATCGACTCCATTGACTGAATTGGCCAACCTCAATATACATGCTTTATGCGACGATCTTATGCGAGGATTGATGACTAAGTTAAACATTCCTATACCTGAATGGGAACTCCATCGACGAATACGTATTACAATTAAAAAACAAATAATTAAGATTATGGGTCTCGATCCCGATCAAGATATTCCCTATACACTTTTTTCAAGAGTAAGAATATTAGTTCGACAAGGAACTGCATCTAAATACGAATCTCAAAAACTCACAGGTCAAGAATTCATTGAACACAAAATACCGGTGAACGATAATACCGGTAAAATGGACGTTTATATTGAATTGCATTGGCAAGGTCATTACAATGAACCAATGTACACGGTTCGAATGCGATTGACAGATTCGACAAAAGATGTACATCTATTCTACAATCCAAAACGTAGTGTTTGGCGTGAACAATAAAGTGTACATGTGGCAAATTTAAAGGACATTTTTTGTAAACATTTTACATGATTGATTGATTTTTACTCTTAAAATGAAATGATTTCACTAATATTTTACATTGTAATAGTGGCATGAGACAGTTGTATCATGCTTATATACTGGCATAATAATTCGAGTGTAACTCCATTCTATATCTGTCAAGAGTATTTCAAGCGTTTCTGATTGGAATAAAAATCAAAGTTCTGTTGCACAGCTCGTCTACTGTTATCGAGTCTATTGTGGTAATTCAAAATATTACCATGAAAAACAAACACTTCGACTACGACAACGAAAATACCATACTACAATTTCTAAAAGTAATTTAGGAAGGTCGTGACTTAAATGAACTGTAAAAACATTTTGTAGATTTCTTTTTCATCAAGCAAGTTATTAAGAAGTATTGTCAAAAGTAGCTCTAGTGACAGAATTTAAAATTAAGAAAAAGTCGAAAGATGATTGACTTGACCGCACGATATCTCTAGAAGAATAAACATAAATAATAATCGAGAACTAAAGATGAGAAGAGCATTTTTCATTACGAATTTAAAAAAAAAATGTCAATTGATTAGTCGTTGAAACTTGCCTATGTTTGACATAGCTACAAAATAAGAGATTATATGATGGAAACGAGTTAATATCCATTAAAATTTACGTAAAATATTCACATACGGCTGTGACTAATGGTGTTGGTGCATGAGTGTGAAGAAAGAGAAGATCGGTACCTACACCCCTAAAAGCTTCTTTTTTATTTTATATTATTTTTATTTCAAATAATCCGAACAAAGATAAAACTATTTTCGTGTAACTGAATTATAGCTCATTATTTTGGACATTGATTACGGGGAATGCAGACACTATTAGTACTGTTATTTATGCGTACATAATCCGGACGACGACAATAACAACCAGTGACACATTGTTCAGTACAAATTTCAGGCTGGTAATTACATGTTTCAACACAGGCTGTACCACAATCTGTAAATACCTCATTATTGCCACAACACTGTTCGCGTCTGACACATTTGCCTTCCTTTGAACGATAAAAGCCCTCCTTACAGAAACAGCCTGTCACACACATCGCAATGCACGCCATAGCCGGTTTTGGAAGTGGATAAGACCAGTCTTTACATGTTGGTGGACATGCTGAACCACATGTCAAGAATTCTTCATTTTCGCCACAAGGCGACGTATCGTTCGCTTTTCCACATTCTTCCTGTTTGATGCATGGACTGCCAGCCTCGTTCGATGCTCGCACATATCCATTTTTGCAAAAACATCCGACATCACACATAGCCATACACATTTCGGGCTTGTACGTACATGTTTCGATACAAGGCGAACCGCAGGTACTAAAAAGTTCATTTTGACCACATACAAGTCCTGTATTTTGAATATAAAATAAAGTTACATCGAAAGAAATGTATACAATTGACAATTTACACTACCTTCGCCTTGAGAGGTAACGACAGTCACGAATAACAATAAGAAGCACGTATACAGAATCAAGGTCATGTTTTTTAATTGGATAAACAGAATAGTGAATGAATAAGTGCTGTAACACACGCTTGTGAATATGATGATAGTATTTATAGTCGCTCGAACACAAACGAAATGAAAATAAATGAAACATGAGTAGATACCATCTGAAAATTAATAAAGGTAGATGGTTGCAGGTGAGGATCACTGTTGATCAAAGTGTCAATATATAGTGTGTGTGGTATATTGAATAAAATCCCAGCATGAAATAGGGTGGAATAATAATGGCCTTATATTGAATAAATAGCTCTTGAAAAACAATTTTCTCTCCGATAGGGTTTTCAATAGTTTTGCACATAGATTATATACGACGAGCTTCGACTCGATTTCAAAATGGAGTCTATTTTGATTGAGGATGAAGGTTGAAGTCCATCATCGAAGAGTCATTGTTTAGCATTGCAGGTGGATTGTTGCTTTGGTTGAAACTGTGATGCCTGTCATTAACAGTCCGCAAATCAGCAACGATTTTGACGACATCTTCGTTACTCTATGTAGATCGAAACCGTGTTTAGATTAGATGTATTGCTCCGATGAGTGGACGTGCAGCATAGCTGTCCGGATGTTTTTCATCAATAGCTACTAAAACAAGTCCAATAGTTCTATTAAAAGAATTGATATACACATTTTCAACTTTCACAATAATAGAATGATATTGCTCACGTTGCAGAAAGGCATCAGCATGTATTAAACCATTCGAATGGAGAGAGTTAAAGCCCAATGATTGTAACACTGACTTATTATGTTTGCCATAAAGATACTTACTAATAAATTTTGATTCACTATATTATGTTGTTATTTAGTGATTTACAACATGTCAAATTTGTACAATTGTAATTCATATTGTATATTTTTTTCTTTCACAGTAATATGTTCGAAAATCACTACTACTTCTACTCGCTATTGAAAAAATAAACCAGGGAGTAGTAAAAGCTTATAAAAAATACATCAAAAACAAATGTGCGCAAAAAAAAACATGAATGATGTCATCAAAATCTTGTGTATCATTGACTGATCCTTAAGAACGAATAGTGACAGGATTATTATTAAGTTTTTCGACGATATTCAAATTATTTCTATTTCATAGAGTTACATCATCACTATTTAAAAGTCATATTAGATCGATTTTACATCCAAATTTGCTTTCATGATGAAAAACGCAATTCTCATGAATCATGAACTATATTTTTTTTTCTTTGACGTAGAAAGATTTGATGCATCTTTCCACCCACATGTGCATCATTACGAAAGAACAGACAAAAACCAAAATATCACGGCTCATTGCTCCCACATAGAGAGAGAGAAGAAAACTATTCATATAAGCAGATAAAACGTAGTAATATTTAATATTATCAGAAGTAATTATACCGATGTTGAAACTCGTAAGCTATTTTTAGTAAAAGTAGGTGAAATAAACACAAACATATAGAATATTTTCGAAAAAAAAATAGTTCACTGTGCATAAATCCTATATTTATTACAATGATCGCGGATTGTGATGTAACTAATTGGACAAAATTTCATAACATTTTATGTAATCGACGTAGAATGGTATCACTTTGCCACAAAACAGATATATGTAGAACACAGATTTTTGTCGACAAATACTATAGTCTATTATCTTCACAAAAAATAATTTCCTTCAAATAGTTCATTATTTTAAAGAATATGGCATTGCGTTAAGTTTTATGAGCCATTATTATTTGACAAACTTGATTAGTTTCTGTAGATACTGGTATAAAGTGCCTAGATTTTATTCATATCATATCTAATTTTGGCTTTTGACAGTACGACAATACTTCAATTGATCTTTGATTTCGATCTAGATTTTTATAACATTTGAAGTGTACAATCATTATACGTGTATTGCGAGAAACCTCTTATTAACTAATTTATCTACAATGGATGGAACGAAGAACATACCATCCATCAAGCCAAAATTGTCTTTTAAATTAGTCGGTCTTCTGGTCCTTATCAAGGTCAAAAAGAAACCAATCTCATACAGAAAAACGACTGCAACAAACTTTGACGATAGTCATTCTACAAAGTCATCACGCATTCATGCCATTCAAAATTTCAGGCTCATATGGTTAGATTCGAACATAGATGACTCAAGTGCTGACATCAAAAATTCACTTAATCAATTTCGACGAATTGTTAATAATATCGATACATTCAATAATACAGATCAATGCTTTGACTTTCTTACTCAAATTGAACACGAAAAAGTATTGATGATCGTATCTGGTAGACTTGGTCAATTAATAGTACCTATTATCCATCATTTATCTCAACTTAATTCCGTCTATGTATTTTGTGAAAATCAGTTGCAACATGAACAATGGGCGAATGAATGGACGAAGGTGAAAGGTGTATATTCTCAGATTGATAATTTATGTGATATACTAATATCTGATATTCGTCAATGTGATCGAGATTCGATTTCTATTAGTGTTACAGGCAACGATTTGAATCGTCTCGATCCATCGTTTATGTACACTGAACTACTTAAAAAATTGTTTCTTGAAATGGAATATGATGACGATGTCAAGAAAGAATTTGTCGATTTTTGTCGGGAACAATATCGTGACAATCCTTATGAATTGCAAATCATTGATGAATTCGAACACGATTGCGGAGCACATACGCCTATCTGGTGGTATACACGAGAATGTTTTATCTATAAGATGCTTAATCGTGCTCTTCGAATGCAAGACGTAGAAATCATCATCAAGATGAGCTATTTTATACGTGACGTTCATCTTCATATACAAGAAATTCATTCTCAGACAAGTCATCAAGATCCATTTATTGTTTATCGTGGTCAAGGTATGTCATTTGAAGACTTCGATAGAATAAAGAAGAGCAAAGGTCGTCTGTTGGCATTCAACAATTTTTTGTCTACCAGTCTTGACAGAGAAGTCTCATTATCATTTGCTAAAAGTTCATCGCTGAAGCCTGATTTAATGGGCATACTCTTCGAAATGATGATCACTCCGTCTATTCCATCAACTCCATTCGCTTCAGTCAGTGAGATCAGTGCTTTTTCCAGCGAACAAGAAATATTATTCTCAATGCACGCTGTATTTCGTATATGTGAAATTGATCAAATTGAAGATCGACTATGGCGCATAGAACTTACATTAACAAGTGATAGCGACCAAGAGCTAAAACTTCTCACAGAGCACATAGAACAAGAAATACAAGAATCAACTGGGTGCCATCGACTCGGTGAATTGTTGCTACGAATGGGCAATTTTGAAGATGCTGAAGAAGCCTTTGAAAAATTACGCGAGGAAACAAGTAACGATGATGTGGAAAATCTGGCCTATATATATAGTCAACTTGGACGTATAAAAAATATTAAGGGCCAATATCAAATAGCACTTGAGTTTTACAAAAAACAACTTGAAATTCAACAAAAGTCACTGTTACCAAATCATCGAAATGCCACTGCTACCTACAACAATATTGGCGATGTCTATGCTAATATGGGGGAATACTCGAAAGCCCTTGAATTCTATCAGAAGTCACTTGATAATGTACAAAAGTATCTTCCACTAGATCATCTTGCATTGGGTGCTACCTACGATAATATTGGTGAAGTCTATGAAAACATCGGAGATTATTTAAATGCACTTGAATTCCACAAGAAATCTTTAGAAATACAACATAAATGCTTCCCGCCAAATCATCCAGAGTTGGGTGGTACATATAACAACATAGGAGAAGTGTATGCTAACATGGGCCAATATTCAAAAGCATTAGAGTATTATCAAAAGTCACAAGAAATCCAACAGAAATCTCTTCCTCCAAACCATCTCGAACTTGCTACTACCTATTATAACATTGCTGCAGTATACGATGACATGGGTGAATACTCGAAAGCTCTTGAGTTCTATCAGAAGTCACTTATAATTCGACGAAAATCTCTTCCTGAGAATCATCCTGAATTGGCTTCTACCTATGATAACATTGGTGAAGTGTATGAAAATATGGGAGATTATTCACATGCGCTAGAGTTTCACAAGAAATCATTAGAAATGCAACAAAAATGCCTTCCACCAAATCATCCAGAATTGGCCGCCACTTATAACAATATCGGAGAAGTTTATACTAACATGGGTCAATACTTAGAAGCATTAGAATGTTATCAAAAGTCACAGGAAATCCAACAGAAATCTCTTCCTTCAAACCATCCCGAACTTGCCACTACTTATCACAACATTGCTGCAGTATATGATGACATGGGTGAATACTCGAAAGCCCTTGAGTTCTATCAGAAGTCCCTTGAAATTCGACAAAAATCTCTTCCTGACAATCATCCAGAATTAGGCGCTACTTATAACAATATCGGAGAAGTCTACGCTAACATGGGTGAATATTCGAATGCGCTTGAATTCCATCAAAAATCTCTTGAAATTCAACAGAAATCTCTCCTTCCGAATCATCCAGATTTTGCGGCTATCTATAATAACATTGGAGAAATGTATGTTAAAATGAGAGATTATTCAAAAGCGCTTGAATTTCATCAAAAGTCACTGAAAATTGAACAACAATCTCTTCCTCCACATCACCCAGAGCTAGCTACGACCTATCACAACATTGCGACAGTGTACGAGAACATGAAACAATATTCGAATGCACTCGAATTTCATGAAAAATCGCTTGAAATTCGACGAAAATGTCTTCCACCAAATCATCCGGATTTCGCTGCTACTTTCAACAGCATTGGCGAAGTTTATTTCAAAATGGAAGAATATATGAAAGCACTTAAATTCTATCAAATGTCACTAGAAATCCAAGAGATATCTTTGCCACTAAATCATCCAGATTTTGCTGCTACTTATAACAACATTGGGGAAGTTTATTGCAAGATGGGACAAGATACAATTGCACTCATATTTTACGAATGTGCTGTTGAAATCGGACAAGAAGCTCTGCCTGAAAACCATCCATGTCTTCAGATTTACCGAAATCATTTGACTGAAATGCAAAATAAGACATAGTTCATTTTGATGTAAATAAATAAAAGGATGCTCTTTATATTGACTATGATTTGTGACAATGACAAAGAAGCAGCATTCTGAAATATCCGCCAAGGCCTATGTGTGTGAGAATTAAGTTTTACATATTGTAGAATTAGAATACTATTTTAATTAGGTCTTCGTTGGCTGAAATGACATTTTTGAGGACGTTGAAAATCTTTCTGTCAAATCATTTTTTGTAGGGCATTTTTTTTTAATCCATTCGTAAGGTAATGCAGTGAAACCATGTCTTGCACCATACATTGTCCCACATACAACGCCATTCGTATAGGCATCGCCACCATATCGAATATGAACATTAAGTGTTGTTTGAAATGGTTTCGTGGATCGCAATCCATAGAAACCTGATGCTAAACATTTATAAGTCTAACCAATGCTTCGTGGTTCATCAAGGTTAAGTTCTTCTAAGGTTCGATCTTTATGTGTATACCATAAGAATTCTTCTTTATGCTCAGAAGTTAGTTGATCATCAAGAATATAAATAGTTTCTTTTTGAACACGATCGATGAGTATTTCAATATCATCTTCAGTACTAGCTTGTAAAAGGTAGGTGCTAGCAAGACAAACTGCAAGACATGAAGCGACGCATCGAGGATCGAAATGAGTTACTTTACACATGGAAATAGCTGTTGATTTAACCTGAACACAAAGATAAAATAATCAATGACTAAGTAAAAATTGCTATCTACTTTTTCAATATCTCGAAAATGAACAAGAGCTGAAGCAGAACATCGTATTACCGCTCCATTTGGTGCTGCTTGACGATAACTTCGTTCCCATGTCGTTCTGCTTGCTTCATGTGGATCACTAAGAAAATTATATGAGCTAGTAACCTACAACAAAGACAAAACGACGAATCATTTTAGAGATCATTCAAAACCAAATACAATAGAACAGAATTTTTATTACGAAGAAAATAGATAAATTTACCTGAGAGACATTAGCCCCTAACCCCATTCCTCTACAGTCACCCAATTCAGAAAAACATTGATAAATCCAGTGCCGCAGCTTTTTAGCAAACATGATGTCATCACCATTCGGATAAGTCAACGTTTCCAAGATTAATATCCATTGATCAGTATCATCAGTCCAATCGCCTCGTGTCCAGCGACTTGAATGAGCAGTTAAAATATAGTCCTGGAATGGAATAATTTGTGTGTTATCAGGATACATAGTAGCTACTGTTATGCGATCTTCAAATTCAGTCGATAGACCATATGCATCGCTCAGTGCTTGTCCATAAGCACAACCAAGAAGGCGATCGATGAGATCGCCTTTGTGTAATTTTTTCAGTATAGGATCGAGCAGATCTTTGTCGTCAGATTCGGTAGAATCATGTGTATTATATGACATAGGATAGTTGTTCACATCCATAGGTGTTGGCTCCTTATGATATTTCATAGAAAGAACTGCTTTTTTTTCTAGTTTAATAATGAATTATTTTGATATTGAAATCTATCATTTTTTAAAGAGCACACTGATATAAACAAATGATTTATTGGAATTTCTGGCAGACAATTGGCAAAAACTATGTGGAAAACGAAATCTACACATTAAGTTTGTCAAAGGCTCATGCATTACATAAAAATTGAATTTTACTGAAATGTTCTTCGAATGGCAACCATGCCTTTTATCAGTCTCGTTTTTTTTCTATTTATTCAATCCTACCTATCTACGACTACAGGCGTTTCGTTCATTGGAGGCTTCTCAGTGTTACTACAATATAAGACATTTGGCTGATGAAAACAAACCCGAAACAAATAAATCCTTTCTTACCTTTATGTTTCGCTTTGAATTGATTCCACAGTTGCTAAAACGTATAAAACTCACGATGACGTACTTCAAAAAAAACTTTCTCAAAAAAGATGATCAATTAAATCTAACTACACTGACAAAAAAGAGTACTTTTAAAATTTATATATTCTTAATTGATATGAAATGTAAACTTTACATTTAGGTGTTTCGTGCACTTTATTTGAAATTTCGCCGACTTCACTTGGGGTATCGTCAGCGACGTTTTCAGGAATAATTATATTTAAGTGCTTGGGGTCACCACCGTTGTCAACATGCAAAATTTGGGGTTCGCACTCTCCACTGTTAGTAAGCGCCACATCTGAAAGTTCGCTGATTCGATTGTCAGTCACGTCTACAGTGGTTGTTACACGTGTCAGAGAATATAAAACGCAGAGATGTAATAGTTTCTTGTTAAATTCTGAAAGAAAAGAAGAAATACGTCATATGTTTATGGCCATGAGTATGCCATCTTTATAAATTCGAAGAAAAAAAGCTTTTAGCTTAACCTGTAAGAAATTGAAGGTTGCGCCAATAGTTTTTCTTTTTCATGAATCATGCACGATGCAAAGTCAGTGTTTGCTTCTTTCTTTGAAAGTTGGAAGGTAGAAGATGAAGTTCAAATACATAACCGAAACCAGTAACAGAATATTTTCTAGAGGTGTTTGCCACGCTTGGAAAAAAGTTTTAATCACGTGGAAAATAGAAAGCTATTCAACGATATTTTTTTTTAGTAACAATTAAGTGCTCAAATCTTTTATTTTCATTTTCATTGATCACATGAATTTCTCTTTTCCTCGGCCAAGAGAACAAAGCTCTTCGGTAATGATAAAGCATTTAACATCTCATTCTGGAATAGAGGAGAGAAGGAAAATTATTCCTATAATCAAAGAAGATTGTACAGTAGTTGTCCTGAAACTCAATGAGTGTTCTCAATAAATATGTATGTAAATAGGTCTTGCCGGCATTTTCAAGTTATGATAACGAAAGTAATTGATTACTTGATCCGAAACTTCTCTGTAACAGATAACTTTCACATTCCAAGCTAAGCTATGATTTTTAATGGCAAATGCTTCACGATTTTCTTTTGGAAATTCAAATTGTAGAGAATATCTTATTAGAAAAATCTCTTAATTTATGTCCACATTTGAATAGTAAAAAATTATTGCTAGAGGTAAGTTACGCAGTCCCAATTGAATCCGAACCTTCGACTTGATATGCTCACGGCCTATCCGTTTACAATGAGCGTGCCAGTGTAAGGTGAAGACAAGATTTGCATCCACACATCGTAACAATTGAACGCAGAAGTTTTCGACAACGCGAATTCAAAATCACATATCAAATATCAAGTAAGAAAGAAACAGAGTTAGGCAGGTCCTCATTTTTAGATGATCTCATGGGAGTTGTCCTTTTTATTTAAATTTGAATTAGTCGATTTTGTACTTTTTTTCTACAAATGCTCGTCGTTGCACCTATTTCGGTGTATTCAAGACGAAGGTATAAGTAAAACGAGTCAGAAGAAGAGAATATTTTTCTTCTTCCTACAAAAGCAGAGAAGTAAGTCACTCTTTTCTTATGACGTGATAGAAAAGAGTTGCCGATTGTTTGCTTCAGATGGCCATGTGACTCTTAAATATGCAAAAAAAAAAACACTTTTGCAATGAGAATATTTTTTAGCTACTTTTTTTTTACTTCTCTTTCTTATCTGCAGTTCGAATGCTAGCAACGCAAATAAACTGAAAAAAGCTCACCCGTGTGAGCATTCGACAACTCTTTCTCTTCAGATATTTATTTATGTTAGCGGGTTTACAATCATTAAAACAAACACACAAGTTCAACTGATACGACTGGACCCAGACATTACGCCTGAAACAGACAGAGTGCGAGGGTGTGGGAGCGAGTAAGGACGAAGAGAAGACCAATACCAACACCCACACACTCGCACTTGCACCCATACCCACACCCACACCCGCACCCATCCCACCCACCCACCCTTTTACGCGAAGTATGATAGCATAAAAAGAAAGAGAGGAAATGACTTGTCGGGATGTATGTTTTTTAAAGTCATTCGAGTCACGAAAATCATTTTAAGTCAAAAAAGTTCCAAAATCAGTTGTTCTTCTCTTGATATCGCTGCATGCCTCATTAGAACAAAGATACTGACTTTTCGTTACATTCTACCAGTGGAATTCTCTTATAATTTTAGATCTATCAGGTCTACACAAACCCGTGACCATGCTATCATCGACTGAAGCACAGGATTAGATATGTCGTGAATGTGGCTTCAGAAATAAAGATAGTAACAATGCATGTGATACTTGCAGAATTCATAAACCAATCATGAAAAACGCAGGTAATGCACACACACTTTTTCAAATTCGGAAGTGTATATCTCGATAACTAATGAAGGTAACACGTTGAAACTTTTCCCAAATATGTATTCGACGGAGTTCTACTTCGCATAAAAATTTCAAGTGTTTATCTTTATGCAATCGGGTTTTACATAAAAAAATATTGGCCGGTAACGCACAGACAAAAACGGCCGTCATTCTTAAGAAGATGTGAAATAAGTAACAAATCCTACGAATTGCTTCATGTTAGTGAATCCTAGTAGTGAAAGCTTTTGTAGCTAAGAATCAGGGCTGTCTTTCGCTGAAGAGATAACATCGAAAACTCGAAAAGTCAGTGAGTTATTGACAGAATATCAGGTAACGCACACACCTGTGTTTTTCAAAAAGTTTCCAAATGTAAAAATATTGCTTCGCATTTAGAAATTTTTCTTCCGAAAATCAAGGTAATGATCTTCATTTGTATTTCAAGCAACCACTACTGTTTTTATATCAATGTTTTAAATAATATTTAAACAAGTTTTTACTAAACACAAAACGATATGTTTGTGCCGATGTAAGCACTCGCTCTATATTAATTAACGTATATAACGACTTTCTCCTCTATACACACTGACATTATCTATTACGTGTTCGAATTCACCTATCGTGTTTGACGTGTGTATCTCTCTTCCTCTTTTTCGTGTCCTCTCTCTTTCTCTCCGGTTCATTGACGCGCCCCGAAGAATTATTGAAATAAAGCAGTTGATATCACGATATAATCATTTATCGTTACAATGTTCACTTTCTTAGACTATAAATTAGAAAAAACTGTCCATTTCGATGGCGGGTGTTGGTGTGGTTGTGGGTGTAGCGTGGAGTATGGATGGGTGGGTGGGGTGGGGTGTGCATGTGAGTGAGGGCGAAGAAAAAAACCAATAACCCCACCCACACCCACAAGTTCGCCACTAAATATTCCCTTGCCGTAAGCGAAACCATTGCCAAGATTGATGCGATCAATGACGACAACCTTATTCACGACCGAACTGGATTTCATCAAACACGAAGAGTATGGGTGCATGGATGTGGGTGTGTTGGCGGGTGGGTGTGAGTATTGGTCTTCTCTTCGTCCTTATTCACCCCACCCATCCAGATACCACACTACAACTCCACCCCACACTACACACCCACACCCACAAGTTCGCCACTAAATATTCCCTTGCCGTAAGCGAAACCATTGCCAAGATTGATGCCATCAATGACGACAACCTTATTCCCGACCGAACTGGACCTCATCAAACAGCAAGA